TTCATCGAGATCGACGTCTCCAACCTGCAGACTGTGGGCACGGGCCGCATTCTTACGGCAATGCCAAACTTCACTTAGGAAAAGCCCCACTCTGGACCACCCTGGGGCTGGGATTCAGCTGCAGGAAGCTTTACCAGCTGCAAACCACCCCACTGCTGCAGCTTTCCGCAGGCACGAGGCTGCCGGCCCAACCAGCGTGGCCGGACCAGGCAGGTACCAGGCCACCACCGCGATGCCTGCCAGCGGTGGCTTTGCTGGCACGTTGGTGTCTGCGCAACACCATGATGAACCGGGTCAGAAAATAACCTGGTAAGAAGCTGCAGCAGGGTCTGGCTGGGTTCGCCAATATGGGACCAGTACGCACAGCCACAGCAGGCACTGGGGGCACAGGTGGCTCAGCCCCACGCCGACAGGATGGCTGAGATGGTGGCTGTGGCTGGTGACACTGCTGCATGCCACCAAGCCAATTCAGCCTGGTTCCTCTTTCCCAGCCGCGTGTCCGCATGGGACGGGAAGATGGTTCCTTCCAGCCAAGGCTGAGCTTGTTCTCAGTGAGGGCGAGCGGCTGGGGAGGCCGGCCCAGCCCCATGGCACCCTTGCCGCCGGCTACCTATGGCTGGGGTGGGAGCATCCTCTCGGCCCCCCAGGGAGGTCAGCACTGCCTGGTGTGGGACACAGGCAGGGGATGGGCAGGGTGGTCACAACCGTGGCCTGCCTGCAAGCTCACTCGTGATGAGGGGAAGCAGCTCCGGACATCAACCACCAACGTTATCCACGCATCCCCAGGCATCCCACCACCACGGCTGGACCCCATCCTCATCCTTAAGTGAGCCGGCCCTCTGACACAGCACCCCAAAAGCAGAGTTTGGGGTGCAGCAGGTGCTCTCATGGCCTCTGGAGACCACCAAGTGCCCCGACACAGGCACCCGTGCTTCCCAGGGCAAGCGGCTCGCCCACCGCCATGCCACCAAGGGAGAGCGAGAGGAGAGCGTGGCTGGGTTTTGGGGGGCATCTCTCTGCCCAGCAGCTGGCAAAGCTCAGCTCCAAAAAGCAGGGTGCCCTGCAGGTCCCTGCTCCCCCTTCCCCAGGCTTCCCACTCCCCCAGATCTGCTGGGGGAGCACCAAGGGATGCACCAAGCTCACCACGCACCGTCGCCTGCTCGTTTAGCGCCTGGGGGAGGGGGTTTCACCCCACGGTCTGCGGTGGGGGTTTTCGGACCCTTTACCGGGCAACCCGCGGGCTCCGGGCAAGCC